TAAGTGTTTCTCAGCCATTTGGGATTTTTCAATTGAGAATTCTTGGTTTATGTTCTTGGATTTTTTTTTTTTTTTTGATGTCTAGTTTCTTGAGTTCTTTATATATCTTGGAAATCATCCCTTTGTCAGATATAGGGTTGGTGAAGATCTTTTCCCGTTCTGTAGGCTGCCATTTTTTTGTCCTATTGGTGGTGTCCTTTGCCTTACAGAAACTTTTCAATTTCGTGAGGTCCTGTTTATTAATTGTTGATTTAGAGTCTGTGCTACTGGTTTTATGTTCAGGTAGTTGTCTCCTGTGCCAATGTGTTCAATCCTATTTCCTTTTTCTTTTATCAGGTTCATGTATCTGGATTCATGTTGAGGTCTTTTGACTTGAGCTTTGTGTGGAGCAATACGTATGGATCTATTTGTATTCTTCTACATGTGACATCCAGTTATGCCAGCACCACTTGTTGAAGATGCTTTCTTTTACCCATTGTATAACTCTGGCTTCTTTCTCAAAAATCAGGTGTCCATATGTTTGTGGATTTCTGGGTCTCAATTCGATTCCATTGGTTTACCTGTCTCTTCCTATGCCAATACCACACTATCTCTTCACTCTTTAGGACCTCTTCTTCTCACATGGGCCTTTCTGGCTCCCTGAGCCTTATAGACATTCCACATTTCAATAGACAAATCTAAAACTTCAAAATTAGGATCCACATAATAGAGAGGGTATGCAGTATTTTGGCGGGGGGGAGGGGGGAGTGGGTAGGGTCTGGGATACCTTGCTATGTTTTTCTAGCTCCATCCCATTTCCTGCAAATTTCCTAGGTCCATTTGCTAAGAATACCTTTTTCTATCTGACCCTAAGATAGAATCTGCCTTTTATGGGTGGGTCTGATTTCTTGGAAGTAGCAAATAGATGATTTTTGTTTTTTGATACAATCTATGAGACTGTGTCTTTTGATTGAGAAAATAAGACTTTTAATAAAGAGGCAGGTGAATTTCTGTAATTTGAGGCCAGCCTGGTCTACGAAGCTAGTTCCAGTCCTACCAGGATTATGCAGTGAGACCTTGTCTCAAAAAGCCAAACCAAGTCAAAACAAGCTAGATGTGGTGGAACATATATTTAATGCCAGCATGATCTATGTATCAAGTTCCCAGGACTGTCAGAGCTACATAGTCAAACCCTGTCTCAAAACTAAACAAAAAACATCTGTAGACATGAGGCAGTGTTGGCACACATCTTTAATTCAAGCACTCTTGGCAGAAGCAGGTGGATTTCTGAGTTTGAGGCCAGCCTGGTCTGTAGAGGGAATTCTAGGACAGCTAAATCTACAGTGAAAAACCCTGTCCTTTATGTGTGTGTGTGTTTTTAAAAGTAATTCTTAGTATAAATTTATCGGATTTATTGTTTATTGGTTTGCAGCTCTTTATCATTTCTTAAATGTAATTGTTTTAGTTTTTCCTTTTCTTTGCTTCCGTCAGAAGGTGAGGGATGTTAATGGTTTGAGATCTTTTAAAGATAAACATTTGTAGCTATAAATTTTCTTATAAATACTTCATTGACTACACTGCATAAATCTTGCTATTTCATATTTTCATTATCACTTACCTCTGTATTTTTTCAATTTCCTTTATGAATTTCTTAAATTGATCCATTGGTTTCTTGGGAATGTATTGTTTAGTATCTGTATGTTTGTAAATATACTAACTTGTTCTTTTATTTCTACTTTCATCCAATTGCAGTTGGACACAGTACATTTTATAATTTCAGTACTTTTAAATTATCATCGCTTGTTCAGTGTCTTATTTTCATTAATCTGTGTACGTTTTCCTGTGTATTGATATGTACATATGAGACCAAGTGTTCTCAGAGAATTTATCCCCTGGAACTAGTGTTTCAGAAGTCTCCTGATGTGATTGATGTTCCATCCTGCTGATGAAAAGAGCAGCAAGCATTCTTAACCTCTTCCTCATCCCTCCAGTACTCTCTGTCCCCATGTAGTACTGATTGGCTTGGAATTTATAAACTAGGCCAACCTTGATCTTGCAGTGATCTCCCTTCATCTTCCTGAGTGTTAGGATTATGGATGTTTACTTTCACACCCAGTTTAAATGGTTCATGTTTAAATTTTTTCTCTGTACACATCTTACTCTGGGGTAAAATATCTCTGAATGTGTGTTTTTATACTGCTTTTGTCTTCCTTGTTGGTGTCCTGTGAGTTTTTGGTGGTGCTGCTAGGCATTGTCTTCAGAGCCTTGTGTGTAAAATAGGTATATTTCCTTCCCTGAGCTGTCTAGTTTTTTATGTTTAGTGAAAATGGCAATTTTACAAGTGTTCTACTATTTTTCTTATCATTTACAATTTTTCTTTATGTATTTTAGGCTTTGTAGTTTTGTTACCTGTGATAGAATCTGATTGTTATTTCTTGATTCTTGGCCTCTTATTCAGGGAACAAGATAAAGGAGGTGCACACAGGGTGCACAGTAACAAACTTTATTCTAAAGCAAAGCCACAGTGTTTATTCAGAAAGAGACACTATCCTTAATCACAGCTGGTCACGTGATTGAGATTACTAAGGACCTAAATAATTGTTTGGGCTTCCTTTTGAGAAGAAGGATCTGGTTACTAAGAGATTTCGTTTTGTTTTGATGGACAAGCATGGACTATATGTCTTTGCTCACTGTGCATATCCCTTTCATTAATAAATGTTTTAGTTAGAATTTCTGTTGCTGCCATGAAGCACTGTGACCAAAAAAAAAAAAAGGAAGCTGGGGAGGAAAGTGTTTATTTGCCTTATTCTTTTAATCACAGTTCATCATTTTTTTTTCTTCTTCCCCGAGGCAGGGTTCTCTAGCTTTGGAGCCTGCCCTGGAACTAGCTCTTGTAGACCAGGCTGCCATCTAACTCAGAGATCCACCTGCCTGTGCCTCTCGAGTGCTGGGATTAAAGGTGTGTGCCACCACCTCCCGGCCATTTTTTGCTCGACTGTTTTGTTATTATTATGGTGACTTTTGCCTTCTTCTGGCTGCTGTTGTGTGATTTTTCCCCCCATCTTTCTTTCTTGAGAGTAGGTCTTCATGGTTAGCTTAGACTGGCCTCAAACTTACTGTATACGTCAGGATGCTCTTGAATTCTCAGCCTCCCACACGCTGAACCTTTATACCATCCCCAGTTTCAAACTTTCTGTTTCTAAATCTAAGATAAGTCTTAGGAAAATTCAAAAAATGAATTTGGTGTTTGCTTTATTTAGTCCTATATTTTGATATAGTTGACATTTAGCTTTGATATTTTTGTTTTCTATTTCCTTGTTTCATCCTTTTGTTTATATTAAGAGGATTTTTTTAGTATACCATAATTTCTTTAATAATTTTTCATCATTGGGGGGGGGGACCAATTCCTTCAAGAGGTATTTATGGTGGTGACAAGACTGGCATGTTTCCCTTGGAGTGACATCTTACAGGAGTAGGTTGTTGTGTGGACCTTTCCCATGGTGTTCTCCCAGCAGAGATATACCTTATACAAGCATGGTCATGGTCCTCGGGCTTCAACTGTTCTTATGTCAACTGAGGGATACCTCTAGTGAGTGGGAAATCTGGGAAGGAAAAAAAAAGTAAACTTGCCTTCCTATGGATGATTCCTTACCAGATCCTTAACCCTCCCTGTGGAATTAACTCTGAAGGAACAATGGCATGTCTCCTCCACCAAGGGTAGATTCCATTCTTCACTGTAACAGTGTCATACTTGGAATGTTTTGGATTTTGGAGCATATTGGCTTTCATTGTCTCTGGTTAAAAATGTTTAGGGACTGGCTTCCTCACTCAGGATAGTGTTTTCTATTTCCATCCATTTGCCTGCAAACTTCAAGAAGTCCTTGTTTTTTTACTGCTGAGTAGTACTCTAATATGTATATATTCCATACTTTCTTCATCCATTCTTCAATTGAAGGGCATCTAGGTTGTTTCCAGGTTCTGGCGCTGAACATAGCGGACAATGAGGACTACTGAGAACTCAAGAACAATGGCAATGGGTTTTTGATCCTACTGCACCTATTGGTTTTGTGGGAGCCTAGGCAGTTTGGATGCTCACCTTACTATACCTGGATGGAGGTGGGTGGTCCTTGGACTTCCCACAGGGCAGGGAACCCTGATTGCTCTTTGGGTTGATGAGGGAGGGGGACTTGATTGGGGGAGGGGGAGGGAAAGGGGAGGCAGCGGTGGGGAAGAGACAGAAATCTTTAATAAATAAATTAATTAAAAAGAAAGAAAGAAAAAGCTAACTCCAAAAAAAATGTTTTGGGAAAATCTAGGCAAATATTCTAAAAAATCTGAAATACCTCAAGTCAGAGGAATTTTGGATACTTAATCTGTATGACATTTCTTCTGGGGATTTTTTTGTTCTGTTTGATCAGTTTATGTAGTACCGTGCTGTTCCCATACCCTCTTTTAAAAATGTTTTATGTGTATGATTGTTTTGCTTGTATATATGTTTGGACCACTTGTGTACAGTGTTCTCAGAGGCTTGAAGAGGGCATTGGTCCTCTGGAACTGAACTTAAAGAGAGGGTTGTAGGTTTCCATATGGGTTCTGCAAGATCATCAAGTACTGCTGAGGCTCCCATCCATCTTAATATACGTTTATAATATCAGTATCATCAAGGAAAAGTATTTTGCCTACTTTAGGAGTATCTTTTTATATTCTCAGATTAAAAATATTTTTGTATAGCTAAATCTTATTTTTTAATAAGACAGGCTCTTACTGTGTACCCTCACCTGACTTTGAGCCTGTATTCCTTTTGGCTTAGCTTCCTAGTCCTAGAATTATAGGTATGTGCTGTATGCTCAGCTTAGCTTTGAATGAAAACATTTTGCCATCTTATGCTAATTAGTGAATATGGAATTCATTATATTTCGGCATTTATTCTGAGCATTTCCTAGTGTTGGAATGGGAGACAAAAGTATGTGATGCTTGTGTTATCAGCTTTAGAGTCACAGTTGTTTTTCTTTTAATTATAGGGACAGTTTTGATCAAAAGTAACAATGGTCAGTTGATGCTGGTATCTCCTCAGCAAGCTGTAACAGGAGCCAAGACCACAAGTAACATAACTCCAAGGCCAGCAGTACCAGCAAATACTCAAACAGTCAAGATCTGTACCGTGCCGGTAATCTACCTTAATTTTCTTCCCTTCCAGCTACTATCTTTTTATAAATGCGGGCCTGTTTGCCAGTAAAAATTTGAGATAATCTAAGTGCCAATTTAGTTGATACTTGGTAATTGCTAAAATAATGAAAATTATACCTTCATACTCAGCGATTTTATTGTCCTCAAAGGGGCAGTATACATCTGTTGAAAGAAAACAACTATTCTGAGTCAGGGTTTTAGAATGTGTGTGTATGTGGTTGTGTGCCTGCATGTGTTTTCATATGAGTCTGCAGGCCAGACTGATAGCCATTGGATATCTTCCTCAGTTGCTCTTCGGTGTATTTTTTGAGACAGGTTTCTCATTGAACTGGAAGCTCACAGATAGACTAGATTCTAGGCTAATCAGCAAACTCCCAGAATACTCCTGTCTTTGCTTTCCTAGCAATCCCCCCACCTGTTGGTTTTGGTGTTGTTGTTTTGCATGTGTTGTGTGTGTGTATTTACTTTTTACATAGTGCTGAGGTCTGAATTCAGATCTTCATGCTTATGAAAAAGGCACTTTACTGATTGAGCCATCTACCTATCTCTGTTTCACTTTTAATTTGTATTTAGTAAGACTCCTATTTAAAATATTCATTTTCATCCATATATTATAGAAATTACTTCCAAGTAATATGAGTCTGCTTTAGTATTTCATTAGTTTTGTCTTGTTTGAAGTGACTTTTTAAAATAAAGATGTTGATCTTTTTTTGTATCTGAAATTACTTTGTCAGTGAATTTAAAAATATTTTTATGAACATCTGTCTTAGTTAAGGTTTCTATTGTGTGAAGAGACACCATGACCATGACAACTCCTGTAAAGAAAAACATTTAATTGGGGCTGACTTACATATCAAAGGTTTAGACCATTATCATCATGGCAGGATATGGCAGCGGGCAGGCAGACATGTTGCTGGAGAAGGAACTGAGAGTTCTATATCTGGATCTGCAGGCAGCAAGGAGAGAGAGACACACTGGCCAGGTTTGAGCATCTTGAGACCTCAAAGCCTGCCCCAAGTGATACACCTTCTCCAGCCATGCCACATCTCCTTCAACAAGGCCATAATAGTGCCACTCTCTATGGGTCTTAGGGGGGCCATTTTCATTCCAAACCACAACATTTTTATTTAACTCAGAAATGTTGGTGTTAGGGAGATAGTTTGGTTAGTAAAGTACTTGTAGCCCAAGCGTGAGGATTTGAGTTTGATATCTAACACTCACTAAACAAACAAATGCCAGGTGCTATATCGTATGCACCTATGATCATAGCAGAAAAGTCAAGAGGATTCCAGGGCTTGCTGTCTGGCCAGTAGAGCCAAATTTAAGAGCTCTCAATTTAGTGAGACTCCCTCAAAAATAAAGGTAGGGAATAATTGAGGTAAATATCCTAATCAAAGGTTGACTGCTTTCTTGCCTATCCTCCTTCTTCTTTTAAATGCTTTATTATCACATACATTTCAGAGTTTGTGTGTGTGTGTGTGTGTGTGTGTGTGTGTGTGTGTGTGTGTAATATGCATACTGTGGCTGTACTTGTACAGGTCAGAGGCCAGAAGTCACTTCTCTCCTACCAGGGTGGAACTCAGGTCATCAGACTGGCAGCAAGCTCCTTTACCTTTATGCCATCTTGCTGGTCCTACTTGCAGTCTTGATACTAGTTCCTCAATTAATTATTTTCTCTGCCAATAGTGCATTTTCTTTCTAATTTATTTTAACTAGGTGTTAACTGATTTTTGTTTATAATTAAATATTAAATTTTATTTGTATAACAAATCAAGTTTAAGGTTTTATTTTTTATTTTGTTATTGTAGGTATGAGTGTGGGTGCATACATGCTACAGTGCTTGTGTGGAGCTCAGAGGACAACGTTTAGAACTTAGATTTGTCTTCATCATGGGTTCTGTGAATCATATGCAGATTATAACAAGAGCTTTTTATCCCCTGAACAGTATTCTTGGCCCAAGTTTAAAATTTTAGTTGGAAAATTAGATCTAAATTAGAAAATTAACATAAAAGAAAAGGTTATTTTGTGAATCAGTTGCCTTATTTAAGAAATGTCAGCTGGCCAATTGACCAGTTAAGTCATAGTATAGAATGTTCATAAAATATGGGATATAGCAAATATTTTTGCTAAAGTCTTTTCATTTTCTTCTCAATACTGATTGATTTAAAATAATTTATATTGACTGGGTGTGGTAGCATATGCCTTGAGGCAGAGACAGGTAGAGTTCTGTGAGTTCCAGGCCAGCCTGGCTGATGTATTGAGATCTAGGCTAGCTAAGGCTACATACTGAGACCCTTTCTCGATAAAACAAAATAAAAAATAAAACCAAAATGACTAGTATCAATAACTTTGCTATCTTGTCCTTTTTTCCCAAGAATTCTAGCTCACAATTAATGAAGAAAGTAGCAGTGGCTCCTGTTAATAATTTGACACAGATAGGAACTACTGTGGCATCCACTCCCTCCAGTGCTTCCTCAGTACAAGTAAGTGGTGTGTGTGTGTGAGATATTTAAGTGTCTAACTATGTGACGTTGAAGGCATATATGATGCTGTTTATCAGGCTGAACAATGTAGCAATAAGATGTAGCAATAAGAAAAAGTGGTATTTTATTAGATATCCATTTCATAAATGCATTCAAGTAACATAAATTCATCTAACAGCCCCATATTACAGATTCCAGAAGGAGATGCTAAAATAGAATATGATGGATAAGTTATTTTTTAGAAATCCTATTTGTGAATAGAGGGAGAGTAAGTTTAGCCTAAGTTCATGATTGATAAAGTTCCAGCCAACTTAATTGAGATCGTTAGAGCACATGTACCTTGTCGGCATTGGATCACTGCTGGACTTTACTGGACTTTCCTGGGGAAATTACACAAGGTCTCTTCTTTGCAGCAGAGACCACATTACTGGAACTCATAACTGAAAGTCATCCAATAGAATTCTAGCAGCCAAGACAATACAAATCTCTCCTTGCAATGGTTCATTGACATTTATATCTTATTTCACTTGTATATATACTTCTTGTACATGTTACAGGCAACTGTCCTGGGATGCTATAGAACTTCTTTCCTTTGGAAATAGACAGGTTAAAAGAATAGGTTTTGTAGCCTTATTCCTACAGCCTACACTAAATCATACTAGTTCTCGGTTCATTTTATATCACCCTCATGCTTGGCCTACTACTATGCTGTTCTTGGGATTGCCTACTAGTAGAATCAGATTTTCCTCTTAGGAATCTCTGTGGATCCCTATATGGATCTGTTTCTGCCCTATCTTGGAATTTTTGTTTTTCTTCACTTGTAACAGAATAGCACAGATTGAGTAATTTATAAGGAATAGGAAGTTGTTTGACTCATGATTCTGGAGATGGGAAGTCAAAGATCACAGTGTCAGTATCTGGGGAGAGCTTTATCCTGTGGCAGAGATATCCTCTATCAAGAGAGCATGGAGTCCCAGGAAGAGGAGAGGTTACATAGAGGAGGGGAGTGATGGGAGCTGAACTTACCTTTTTAGGAGTTTCTCCTAGGAATGAATCTCCACTCCTAGGAATGAATAACAGCCTTAATCCATTTACAATTTAAAAATACTCATGCCTTGATCACTTCTTAAAGGTTTCGTTTCTTGAGACCAGTATAATGACAATTATATTTTAACATAGTTTTGAAAGGGATATTTAAACCATAGGATCCTCTATTATGTGATAACTCTACATCTTTTCAGATGATGGGAGTTAATTACCCCTCTCAAGGTTCAGACTCAACTTTCCATCTGGTCCCTGAAATACATAGGCACTGGAAGTACCAGGTGGAGCTGCAGTGTCTGGTCTCCTAAGGAAAATGTGTACCCCGTGAGCAGAAATGGAAAGCACAGAGTCTCCCAGTGGTTATTAGGGCTGAGTAAGGGTCTATTCTTACATCTGCTCCTAAGTTCCTTGATCCATGTATTTGTCCTACCACGAGGATGTTTTGACTTAGTGATTATCCTGAGTGTTGGAAGATAGAATCCCATCCTTAATAAGTATATCGACCCAGTTTATCTGTGCTTGCTATAGACTATTATACTGTTCTGCTATGCTGGTAGCTTCTGAGTAATGCTGTATGTGAGCCACTAGTGGGTCCCATGGTCTGGGGAACAGTGTTCTGTTCCTTCTGTCGTTAAGAAGATGCATCGTCTTGGTGCTTACCTAGATAGACTACTGTACTGATGATGAGTCCTTCTGTTGGTGTTGTAAAATTTATTTAATCATTCTTTTTATATACTGTATTTTCTACTAATTGGTGTCATAAGCACAAGTCTGATTTAAAATAGTGCTTTAAAAATTATTGGCTAGCCATTTTTGATCACTTAGTGTTCTTTATATTTCCTAGGTATTACATATCTTGCCATCCATTAATCACTTCATTTTACACTTGTTAATTGGCATATTATATCCATCTGTGTATGTGATAATAAATTAGAGAGGCTAAGAAACTGACCTGATTTCTATGTGGAAGAATATCTATTTTAGCCTCAATGTCTTAACTTTGGAAACTATTCTTGAACTAGAGTACTTATTGATTAGGCCCGACTGTATATTCTCTCTAGAAAGTATCTTTTTTTTTTTTTTTAAGTAGGTGTCAGTATTTGTTTAAAATGACTTGGGAAACATGTCTTACTGTTGTTATTATGAAGCAGAACCTATTTTGAGGTCTTATGTTCAGTGTTTGTTTAATGAAGATATAAATAGGCCTATTGTTAAGAACATAAATGTCTAAATGATCCAATTTAGAATTAGTATTTTATTTTTTCATTTTGGTTTTTCAAGATGGTGTTTTTTTTTGTTTTTTTTTTTTTTTTTTTTTTTTTTTTTTTTTTTTTTTTTTTTTTTTTTTTTTTTTTTTTTTTTTTTTTTTTTTTTTTTTTTGTATAATTGCTTTGCCTGTCTTGGAATTTGCTTTGTAGACTTGGCTGTCCTCAAACTCATAGAAATCTGCCTGCCTCTGCCTCCTGAGTGCTGGATTAAAGGCATGTGTCACCACTACCCGGCTAGATTTAGTATTTCTAATTGAATATGACCAAGCCTAATGTAATTGCTCTTTCAGACAGGTACAGAAAATGACCTTCTTGAAATATAGCACAATCTAGTAAACATTCATAAGTGATTTTCATGCAGATTCATTTCATACATAATCCAGCCATTTTCTCTGCTGTCTCCAAAATACATTTAATTAATGCAATTCAGTCTTGCTAATATTGGAAATAACATTGACTGCTCTAGAATATTTAATTCAAAGACAGAGTTATGATTGAGTTTAAGAAAGTCTATTCAATACCGAAGTGGAAAAACCAGGGTAAAGTATCTCCCCATGCCCTTTAAAGATCAGAATAGACATTAATACATATTTGGTAAGGTACAGCAAGAATTATGAAAGACAGCTTTGTGTTGGAGTATGCAATTTTTTCATCATTGCAACAAATAACTGAGGTAAATCAACTGGAAAAGTTCTATTTTGTCTCACAGTTTTATAGATTTTATCCGTCACCTATAGGCCCTGTAGTGGCACAGTACAAATCATGAGTAAGTATGATGCAGGGCATAGTGTAGTGACTCTTTCTTTGTACCAGATTCCCAAATAATGACATGGAGACTTATTAATTATGAAAGCTTGACCTTAGCTTAGGCTTGTTTCCAACTAGCTCTTATAACCTAACCCATATTTTTAAATATATGTTCTGCCATGTAACTTTTTTCCTCTCCACGTGGCTCTTTACCTTTAACTCAGTGTGCACATCCGACTTGCTCCAAGTCTGCTGGAAAAATCCACATCTCTTCTTCCCAGAGTGCTTTCTCTCCCTGAAGTCCTACCTATTCTTTCTTGCTCTTTTTAAAAACCAGTCGGAAGGTGCCTTAGGCAGAGACATCTTTACAAGTGTACAAAAAGATTGTCCCACAACAGGGTAGCTCACTTTATTACAGGAAGTCAAGGACAGGAAGGAGTGACTGCCGATAGCCCCTTCAAGGGCGCATCTCTAATAACTGGGCACTAGGTTCCATTTTCTCATGTTCTATCACCACTCAATAGTATCATGGGGCTGGGCCACAAGCTTTAGGGTATGGGCCTTTAGAAGTCATTTAAGAATCAAACTAGAAATTGGTGAAAAAAGAAAATATTGGCAAGGAAGTAAGATTCTATGAATCCTTCCTCTGTTCACGATGACACCATTGTGTGAGCTGATGTTTCACTGGATACTGGTGTTTCATACATAGCAGACACTACTGCTCTGAGGAACCACTCCCACCATGCCTTGAAGGCATCATAATCACTAGTTAAAATTACAAGCCACACTTTTCTAAATGCAGCCTTATAGATTATATGCCTAATTAGTAATTTTGTAGTCCAGGTTTAACTTAACTTAGTGTGTAGCTGAGGTTGACCTTAAACTACCAGTTCTCTATTTTCACCCAGTGATAGGATTTCAGATATGTTGTGAACCACTCTTATCCCTGAAGAGTCTTCTTTATTGTTACAAACATAAAAGTTTAAGAGTCTTCAGAAGGATTCAAAAGCCATGTCACAGGATTTGTCTCTGGAAAATGTGGAAGAGTTCAAACTGGGGAAGGAATTTACTTGGAATACTGTATTTAAGCTTTCTGTTTAATGAAATTGGACTTTTTGGAAAAATCATTCTTTAAAAAAGTTATTTTAGGTGTATGGATACTTTACCTCCATATATGTATATGTCCTGTGTGTATTCATATTGTGGAGGGAAGAAGAGAGGGTTGGATCTCTGTGTAACTAGAATAGAATTAGAGATAGTTCTGATCCACCTTGAACTCAGGTTCTCTGGAAGAGCACCCACAAGTGGTCTTAATCACTGATCCGTCTCTCCAACACCTTAATTTTACCCAGAATTTCATCACTGGTTTTAGTCATCATTAATCAGTATTTTAAATTTACTTCCCCTTTTACTAGAACATTCTGTCTGTTGTATGTACCAGTTTATCTGAAAGGAGCTTGGGTGTCCATTTACCTCTATCTTGACTTTTACAGAAAGAATTTTTCTTGAGAAGAATGCAAGAATCTCAGTTACAGTTATGCTGCAAATGCTTAGTATTCTCTGTGCATATTGTTCCTTCTACTATGCTTTTTTTGTTGTGTAATCTTTAGTATATTTGTTGCTGTATCTCTCTGGTTTTCTAATTTTGTTCTTAGCTTATAATTTTTTGTTAAACTTTCTGTCCTGTAGGTGGTGCTAGAGTCACACCACCTCATCCGATAAGTAGAAATTAATGAAATTCTTTTCAATGTGGAAATAAGACATCCCTCTCTTGTAATGCTATTATGCTTATTTTGATGGTCCACATAAGATCAGCATAGGTGAGCATATGAAAATTAGTTAATAACTCTGTTTTGTACTTAAGAAGAAGCAGGAAAGTACATAAAAGTATGAAGATTTGCTATTACAAATATATTTTTAGAGAAGTACAAATGTGTACATGTGTTGTCTTTTGTGATCACCTGTGTATGTATGGTGTTGAATAAAGTTTTCCTCAACTGCTCTCTACCTTATTTTAAACAGTGTTTCTCACTGAACCTGGAACTTGTCATTTGGCCTCTAGTGGCTGTCCAGTGAGGAATCTCCACCCTGAGATTTACCCTTCTCCACCACACAAACACTTGGAATTCTGGAGTGCGCCACCATGTCCAGCTTCTGTGTGGGCGCTGACGTTTGCATTCACTCATCTTCCCAGATCCATTAATAATATATTCTTTTTAACATCTTAAAGACTTTTGTGTGGCACTGTTTTTCACAGGCCACCCTAGGAACAGTAAACTTCTATTTCTGCTCTTGTAGGCGGGTGTCAAGATTAGGAGCTTAAAATGACTTGCTGGTGACTAGCACTGTAGTAGATGACAGTGAGGAGTAGAATGGTGCTGAAGTGAGGTGCGCCCTGCTCTAGTCCAGCGTTCGGATGGAGTGCCGTCTGAAAGCAGAGATGCCAGATTCATTTGTAGTCCTTTCAGGGTAAAGTGAAGTTTCTACTAAGGGATCATAGCAATACTCATTTAACTTTATGTTGACTTAATTTCAGTCTGTGACTGTACCTCCTGTCAAGCCAGTGAATACTGTAACTATCCTGAAGCCATCAAGTGTGGGAGTATTATCTACCCCCTCAAATGACTCCAGTCTCAAAGCAGAGACCCCAGTAGCTGCTCAGATTAGTCTTTCTCCGGTAAGCTTTCAGTTGTATCTTGTATATATATTTTTTCCTATGTTCTATTTTCTGTGTGCTCTCATTTGTGATTATTTTTCTATTATAGGCAGTGCTAGAAAATGTGAAAAAATGTAAAAACTTCCTTTCAATGCTAATAAAACTCGCTTGTAGTGGATCTCAGTCTCCAGAAATGGGGCAGAATGTGAAGAAGCTGGTGGAACAACTTTTGGTAAGCTAGTATTATATAATTTTTGCAAGCATTATGGGATTTCATAGGACATGTTTCAAATGGGAAATGAGAATGTTTTAATGAGATTTGTTTTAAATATACTTGCTAAAACTTTTTACTTCATTAAAGCTTTGTAATTACTACAGCTAGATAGTCTATGTACAAAATAGTAAATCTTTATTTAATTTTACCATATATCTAAGATGAACTGAATTTTGAATATATGTCATTTTTATACCAATCTTTTGTATGTATATTTTGTGAACAGATAGCAAGTTATAAATTCATCAAATATCTTTTCTAGTTAAAGATTTATTTATCTCAGACCAACAGACTGCAGTTCTCAAAATTTTGGTATAGGATACATTCTTAAAAATAAATAACCCCTCAAGGTATTTTTGTTTGGCCCTTGGAATTAAAACTATTTATTCAACTAAGAATAACAAAGCCATTGTATATTAGCATATGTAATATTTAAAGAAAAACTACAGTTTCCAAAATAATGAAACTGAGTGGGAAATGACATTGATTTGCACTTTGTAAATTTGATGCTGCACTTAATATAAAGCATCTGGATATTCTTTCCGTATTTTATGAGTTGTTAGAGAATTTGTTGTCAAAGTTAGGAAATTACTATTTTCTTGCAGAAAAGTAGTTGGAATATTAAGCATTATTTTATTTTATTTTATTTTTTTTTTTGGTTTTTCGAGACAGGGTTTCTCTGTGGCTTTGGAGCCTGTCCTGGAACTAGCTCTGTAGACCAGGCTGGTCTCGAACTCACAGAGATCCGCCTGCCTCTGCCTCCCGAGTGCTGGGATTAAAGGCGTGCGCCACCACCGCCGGGCTAAGCATTATTTTAGTAGCCTTCTGTAGATCCGTGTGGATATTGTGTAGTCTACTAGTTAATTATTATACTGTGAATTAATATCTTTACTGATGTATAACTTTTTATATAGCATGCATTGTTTAAAACAAAATGCAGTTCTTTCAAAAGTTTCCATATAGTTATGTATTAAGGTAATTGATTTTTAATTTCATCTAACCTTAACATATGTACATCTGTATATAGCTATAAATGTCTACCTAACTACTAATCTTCTTATATCATGTGTGTCTGATTGGTGTGTATAAGTGTATGCTTGCTGTACACAGAGACCAGAGGAAGGTATCAGGTATCCTTGTTTATCATCCTCTTTTATTCGAGTCAGGGTCTCTCATTGAACCTGAAGTTTTTTTTTTTTTTTGCAAGACTGGCAGTTAGGATGCCCTAGAAATCCTTTCACTGCCCAGATAACATTGGGTTACAAGTGAATTGGAGATTATATCCGATTGTTGTGTTGATATTGGAATCCAAAAGTAGGTCTTTTTATACAGCAAGCTCTTAACCACAAGCCACCTCTCTGTCACATAAGCATTCTTTGTTTTTTTTTTTTTTTTTGGGACAGGGTTTCTCTGTGTAGCATCCTGGCTGTCTTGGAAGTCGGTTTGAAGACCAGGCTGGCCTTGAACTCGTAGAGATCTGTCTGCCTCTGCCTTCCAAGTACTGGGGTTAAGGGTGTATGTCAACACCATCAGGGCTTTAAATTTTAGGAAGCTATCAAGTTTAGAGAAAGAGTTATTTCCAGAATTGTGATTCTTTGTATTTTGGAATCATCTTCTTCATGAAAAGAATATTGTCTGTCTTCACTGTTTTTTCTGATTGGGCATATCTATTTCTTATTCATTTACTTCTCTGGTAACATGATATAACAAGCCCTTGTAAATGTGCAATTTACCACTTATGAAAAACTTGTCTATAATCATGAATCAAGTACGTTGCTTCTTTGTATTTTTTAAATTCATTTAGTTTTTAAGAGACTGGCTCACTGCTGGTATACTGGCCTTCAGTTCCTAGGCTAAAGTGATTCTCTAGTCAACATCCTGAATAGCTTTCCTCACAGGCATTCACCACTGCTCTTAGTTTTTTAAAATATTTGTAGATTGGGGAGGCTGTGGTCAGAATGTAAAATAAATAGTAAATTAAATAAAAAAGCATTTGTAGATTGAAACGTATCTTTTTTCCATTTTTTTTTAGGATGCAGAAATTGAAGCAGAAGAATTTACTAGGAAACTATATATTGAACTCAAGTCTGCACCTCAGCCACACCTTGTACCTTTTCTTAAGGTAGGGATGTATTTCTCTGGAAAAATTGTTTGGGTTAAATTACTTTAATTTAAAACCTGAATGTTTTAATGTGACTGGAAATCTGTCGGAAGATACTTAATGATGAGAGGGACTTTAGTATGTTTCGAAAGCACAAGACAACATTCATAGTATTGATTTGAGCAATTTAGAAAAACAGGCATAACAGTAGCTTTAAAAATTCACTTGCTTTTAGTTACGGTGGGGGCGCTTATATCAATATGTACGAAGGTCAGAGGACAATTTGAAAGAGTAGGTTTTCTTCTTCCCCATGGAGTTTCATAGTATAAAACTCTGCTTGCCAGGTTTGGTAGCAAACACATTTCACCCACTGAGCTATCCCACTGGTTCTCCCCGACCCCACAGAATAACATCTTTCTCATGAATGTAACTTGATGACTTGATATTGTATAATGTTTGTATTGGAGTATATTCAAAGATTTTTGTTTTTAGTTTGTGTGTGTGTGTATTGAAACCAGAGGTTGAGCATCTCCCTAAATTATTCTCTACCTTATATATTGACACAGAGTCTCTCATAAAACACAGCTCATGTATTTGGCTAGTTTTATTAGCCAGTTTGCTTCAGGAATGCCTTGTCTCTTTCTCCCAAGTGTTGGGTTTCATGGGTGCTGGGGATTCAAACTCAGATTCTTAAGTACTTTTTTGTTTGTTTGTTTGTGTTTTTGGAGACAGGGTTTCTCTGTAGCCTGTCCTGGACCTTGCTCTGTAGACCAGGCTGCCTTCAACTCACAGTGATCCACCTCTCTCTGCCTCCCCAGTGCTGGGGTTAAAGGCCTGTGGCACCAGCACCTGCTCTCTTACGTGCTTTAAACTCTGAGTCTTCTCCCCACTCGCAGTTTTTTCGAGACAGGGTTTCAGGTCCTCCAGGCTAGCGCCTACTTAACATGTAACTGAGGAGTACCTCGAGTTTCTGATAATTCTGCCTCCACCTTCCAAGGGCTGGAGTTATAGATGTAAGCCAAGGTTCCTGACTCAAGGGGGGGGGGGGCAGGGGGACAGAGAGAGAGAGAGAGGGGGGGGGGGGGGGGGGGGGGGGGGAGGGGGGGGGGGGGGGGGGGGGAGAGAGAGAGAGAGAGAGAGAGAGAGAGAGAGAGAGAGAGAGAGAGAGAATGAGATCTTGGTGATCCATGTTAAAATAATAAAGCAAACATGGTTTATTATAGCCAAATTTAATGTGGTTATAATTTAGCTAACTTATTATTGCCAAATTAAGTGTGATTATAATTTTAATAATTTATAATGTTGACTTTCCTTTTCTGAGTTATTGAAGTAAATAAAATTTTGATGAAGAATTGTATCTTTCATAACAATCTTATTTTGGCAGAGTAAAATAAAATTCATTTAGATTTCAGAAGCTAAAGAGGAATTAAATTAAAATTATAAAGTCATTAAAGACCTAGAACTGTAGTGAATTAAAAGTTTGAAGTAATAGAATGGGGAGTTGTCTTTTGAGACTGTTAGGGTAATGATCCAGGAGAGATGAAAGACAGTTCACAGGGAAGACTTGTTCTGCTTTGTAAAGAATGAGTGGGAAGAAGGTGGGAACACCTCAATTTCATAAGGATATTTAAACAATGGGAACTGTTCCTGAGTAAATGTCCAAATTGATTAGGTGGCTACAAATTATAGGAAGTACCAAAGAAACCGGGAAAGTGTCAGTTAGAGACTTGGTCCTAGGGTAAGAAAAGTTGAAAGATTAGCACGGTATCTAGTCTTATATTTAAATAAAATGAAATATTTGGTCCATCTAGAGCCATAGCTAGGATCAGGCATATTTGTCTAGAATGTAAAGTTCTATTTGTAAAATCACCCATGGATGTTGTCTGGATGCCCTCACCTACTCCTCACAGAGGAAGTAGAGTCTTTACCTCCAAAGCCCCTTCATTTCTAATGTTTTTTAGTTGTAGGTGCCATTCATAGCAGTGGTGTTTTCCTTTGTCCATTAATGCTTTGCCCCTGTTCATGTACTGTGGGGGAGAAGGAGGAAAATTGGTGACTTCACCATCTGCTGTGTAACAGATGATGTCAGTCAGCTTTCAGTTGAAGAGAAAGGCATATTTTGGCTCATATATTTTTAGTCTCTCATTTGTGATTGTCTCTGATGTTAGCCACGTGACAACACCTATGACAACAGCATGTGATAAAATCAAACTGTTCATCACATGGCCTGGAAATAAAAGTGAAGGAGTAGGAGACCAGAGTTAAGTTAAGAGACCCTGTTAAGTGGCACGCTCCAGTGGCCTTAAGATGAGGTCTCACATTGGGCCCTATCTCTTAAAAGTTTCTGCTAGTACCTTTCCATGGTGCCAGCTGGGGACCAGTCCTGTAACACACAACCTCTGAGAGACACTGAAGAACTGTCTAAACTATAGCAGATGACATAATGTGCATTGTTTGCATTTGATTGTCATATGACCTTTGAGAATAGACACCAGGTAGTAATTTCTGTTTTAGAGAGAACAAAAAACCATTTAAATTGCCATTCTCCCCCTGAATTTATTTATTTTTATTTTATGAGTGTTTTGTCTGTATGTAGCTGCACAGTGTGTGTGTCTTGTATATCAAGAGGTCAGAAGGTGTTAGATCCCCTGTAACTGGAGTTATGGATGGTTGCGTTGCCATGTGGGTGCTGACAATCAAACCTGGGTTGTCTACAAGAACAGAAAATGCTTCTAACCACTGAGCAATTGATGTAACCCTTTCTATTTTTGCAAAGGTTTATTTTCTTTTTATTTATGTGTATGTGTGTATTTGAGTATATGGGGTGTGTGTGTGTTACCTTCAGAGGTCAGAAGAAGACTTCACATATCCTGGAGGTGGAGTTACAGGTGATTGTTAGATTCCCAGTTGTTGTTGAGAACTGGGATCCTCTGGAAAAGTAGCAAGAATTCTTAACTTTTGAGTCATCTCTTCAACTTTTTCTTTTTCAAAAATGTTTTTTATTAGCATAGAATAGTTATATATAGTAATGGGTTTTATTATGATAATTTTAAAACACATAAGCATTTTGGCTATATCTAGCCACCATTATCTTCTCTTGTCCCTTCTCAAGACCTGTGCTTCCCCCCTTACTGCAGAATGTTGAAAGGACAAATTTTGTGCAGATTATTTTCTTAAAATAGTTTTTGAGAATTTCATAAATGCATACTATATATTTTGGTCATATTCACCATGTCCCTTTCATTCATAGTTTGATACTATGTTTATTTAGTAGTCCCTATTTCCTATTCCTCCCAAATTTATGTTCATTTTTTTCTTCTTTTATAAAATCCAGCAAGTTCAATTTGTTCCAACCATATGCTCATGGGTATAGGACATTGTCTGTTTTGAGGCCTACGTACCGGGGCTACACTCCTAAGAAAAACTGACTTTTCCTCCCCTAGAAACCATCAGTTGTCAATAATTCCCTGGTTGGTGTGGGGTCTTGTGGACTCTTCCCCATTTTATGACTTTGTGCAGGTCTTTTGTGGGTAGCCAGGGCTGCTATGCACTTATAAGTGAAGTGGTCCTGTCATGTACAGAAGACTCTATTTCAGTGCAGACCTCCTGACCTGATTCTTATTCTTTCTGCTCATTCTCTGAGATTTTATATAGATGTTTCATTTGTGATTGAGTACTTCACATATTTGAGCAGTTTTGAGTTTCTGTACTTACTGTCCCCCAGTGCACAAAGAAATTTTTCTGATGAGATCTGAGCGCTGTCCTAATCTGTAGATTAGAGATAAAAATCTAGAGAGCAGTTTGATACTATGTTCATTTAGCAAAATAATAGTAGTAGGATCACCCTTGGGGAATATGAGCTCCCCCAAATATTGGTTCCTGGCCAGGTTTATAGCAAGTACCAGGCATGTGTTATCCCCATAATATCCTTGTCTGTTTTGTTCCCATGAGTTTTATTTTTGCCAAGCTACTGAAACTCACAGGGTTCTCTAGCTAAGACTGTTGATTACTTACCCCCAGCAGAACACATAGTACCTTCCAGTACTGTGAAAGCTAGCCAGTAGTGAGGTACCTTCCTGGTCAGTACCAGCTTGGTTTCTCCATGTTTTATGGCCACAGTGTGTCTTCCACAGTACGATCTTAGCAAATGGAAATAGCCTGTATTGCTTTAGGGGTCTCTGTAACAACCTTTACTAACCAGTTGAAAGGATGTATCCCACATTTACTACTGGGTTTTTATTACCCCTTCTTCACTCTACCCTCCCTTCCTCTCTAATTTCCCATTTTCCCCTCTTTTATGCAGATCTTGTGAAGGCAATCACACCTGGAATCTGTGTTCCACATGGACTCCCCTTCCTCTGGTGCTATAACATTATTACCCCACTTCTGTGATAATCCCTGAGACCTGAAGGGGTTGATAGAAACATCCTTATAACTGGCCATTCAGTGGCTCCTTATCCTTATAGCACTTTGACCAATTATTAGTCTTTATAGACTACTGACTGCTGCAAAAAGAAGCTTCACTGTTTCAAAGTTAACAGCAGCACTAATATAGGGACACAAACATTATTTCAGAAGCAATTTTGTTGATGTATAGTGCTCATTTAACAAAAGAACAGCAATAACATTACTAGGGCCTATAATCTCAGCCAGAGGATTTTGAACAGGTTTGCAGTAGCAAGATCTCAGCTCTATCTAATAAGAAAGCAGTGGTGGGGTTGCCACTGTTGCACTAGTGACTGTATCCTGCCTGGCTTGGTGCATGCAGAATCCACAGCTGAATAAAACTTTTTATAACTTCCCTGGAGCAGCCTAAATGGCACACCTGAGGACTATGGAGGGATACCAGTACAGAGGAGCCTCCAGCCCAGTTTCAACTTGCTTTTTTGTTTTGTGACCCTCACATATGTCCACTTCAGCAAGGTCTTAAATAGTTAGGTATAGCCGGGCCGTGGTGGCATGTGCCTTTAATCCCAGCACTCGGAAGGTCAGGCAGATCTCTGTAAGAGCTAGTTCCAGGAGAGGATCCAAAGCTACAGAGAAACCCTTTCTCGGAAAAACAAAAAAAGGTCTAGTGAGCAATCAACAGCAGTGGCAATTGCCTATATTGTTTGGGGGCCTTGGGACTCTGATCAACACCTTGAAGCAGTAGTCCCTGCCGGCAATGAGAAGATCATTTAATGGCTTTTGCAAACAGCTACCTACCACACAGGGTACCTCCATTCTAACTCATACTGTTTTTCTGATAGCTTACCAAGCATTGGATTTTTATCGCCTGCACCCATAATTAGTTTTAGTTGACTCTCTTCCCCTTTCTGGCTTCTCTCTTTGTTCTCCTCCTCACTTAAACCTTTTTACCTCCTTTTGTATCATATATTCCCCTCCCCCCCTAGAATGTTTTTCTTTTTGTAGTATTGTAATTGAATCTAAGGTGTTGAACTCTAGTACCCTAGCTAAAGTCACTAGCTTTTGTTTTCCTTCCTTCCTTTCCCTCCCACCCGCCCACTTTTCTTCCTTCCCTCCGGTTTTGTTTGCTTGAGACAGGTTTCTTTGCTTAGCCCTGGTTGTTTGCAAGCACTCTGTTGACCAGGCTGACCTTGAACTCAGATGTCTTCCTGTCTCTAACTCCAGACTGCTGGGATTAAAGGTGTGTGCCGATATGCCCAGCTGTGTCTGCTTTTTAAGGACCTATGAATCTTCTTAAAAACAAACAATCAAACAAACAAAAAAAAACCAACAACCAAAAAAAACCCCCAAAAAACAAAAACAAAATGAAACAAAAAAAACCACTTGGTATCTCCTGACATCACTGAGAGTGCTTGGGGATTAAATGCTACATAGAAAGGATAGATTTGGCACTTCAGCTTAATCTTTGTCATGATTAGAAATAATTAATTATCTCTTTAACTCTCATTATTTTAGCATTTGTTTCCAGTTAGGTTTTTCTGGGAACTTCCTTTTAAATTTCTAGTTGAAACATATTAAATCCTTTTTCACTCTGTTAGTTTTACTTTGATGTAAAGGCTTTGCATTGGATGTAAACCAATGTACATCCAATGTTAAAAGCTATTTAACGAAATGACCTAGGTCCTCTAGGCTATAAATAATCTTACAGATAATAAATCAATAGTTTACTGATGAACTTAAATGAGTAGAGAGATGAGTTTTATCAAGTTGACCATTGACATCCAAAAGAAATGTAATATTTTCACATTTAAAGTAATATTTTCTCACTGAGAAAGCAGTTTGGCCTCTAAATCCATGTACTGATAGGAAAACAAAAATACCAGTTTTCTTATATGAAATACTTGATATACTTAACTGTATGTTAAATACAAATTTTGGTTTACTTTAAGCTTATTTTGTTAACTTTTATCTTCTTTCCTCTACTGTGTCTAGAAGAGTGTGGTTGCCTTAAGACAACTTCTCCCTAACTCCCAGAGCTTCATTGAGAACTGTGTTCAGGAACTCTCTGGTGAGGTGGTCGTTCCCTCCTGTACCATGACAGCAACAACTTCTGTGGTGACAAGTACTGTTTCCCCTGTCCTTGGCTCTGGAGCAGCAGTGCCCAGAACTCTGTCTGTTCAAACTGTGAATCCGCTTTCTGGTCCAAGAGGAGCAAACACTGGGGTTGTGACACTACATCCTGTGGCCCCAGCTCTAACAGGGGGTACAACACCTGCGACTGTGTTGCTGCAGACTTCAAAACCACTCACAACGTCGGTACCAAATCCAGGGACAGCAGTCTCCCTTCAGCCTGAGAAGCCAGTTACACTGGCTCTTCCAGCAGTAACTTTTGGAGAAACTTCGGCTGCACCTCTTTGTCTTCCATCTGTAAAGCCTGCCATCACCTCTGCTGGGACCAAACCTGAAAAAACTGTCATTGGCCCTCCAGTCCAGATGAAACTTGCCCAGCCAGGCCCCCTCCTTCCACAGTCAGCTGGCATTCCACAGGCGGTCAAAGTCAAGCAACTAGTGAGTAACAGTTCATTTCTTCCTCAGCTACCTATTCTGAAAATTTCACACAGTCAGAAGACTGGCAAGACTTTGTATACTTTCCAAATGTGACTAGTTAAGGTTTTTTTTTTTTTTTTTTTTTTGCCTTGCTTGGTCAATTTTCCTCTTTATAACTACATAGAGAAGCTCACTCATAGTGTTTACTGAACATCTATCTGACAAGTATCTGGAAGTGTGACTGTGTACTTTAAAATTTTATGTATATTTGTCCCTTCCCTTTCCACTCCCTTCTTCCCGCCTTTCTTCCCTTCTTCTTTTACAGTGATAGAGACTGCTAAAATGCCTTAAGCATTCTACACAAACATTCTCCCATTGGCTATATCGCTGACCTTTTTTGTTTGTTTGTTTAACTTATTTCCAAGTTGATTTTAAATTTGCAATCTAGGAAATACATGATTGTGCCCACATGTGTGACTGTGTATCTCCTAATGAAAAGGATGGTTTTTAAATTTACATAGCCAAACCTGTTGTCACACATGGGACATTGATATAAAATTTATTAGTTGTCCCAATATTAATCACTTTTAAAAATTGTTTTTAACATTTATTTCCTTTGTTTTGTGTGTGTGTGTGTGTGTGTGTGTTTGTGTTTTGCTAGCTTGCTGCATGCGTGAGACTCACAGATCCTCTTCCCTTTGATTCCTAAGTATTGGGATTACATTGTAATGACTTAAGTGCTTAGGATAAATATTTGATAGACGTCTCTTTGTTTTTTATTATTGCTCAATATTACATTAAGTCTAAATATTTTTGGAAGCTATTACATAGGTGGTTATTATGATGACATTATTTTAGTACTGAAGATTGAAGCTAGGGCCTCGTTCATTCTGGGCAAATGTTCTGTCATTGAGCTGTAACTTTAGTCTTTTGTAGTGTTCCTTTCCTCCCTCCCTCCCTCCCTCCTCCTCTACCCCCCTCCCCCTTGTGTGTGTGTGTGTGTGTGTGTGTGTGTGTGTATCTACAGGTGTATAGAAACCAGAAATTGAAATTAGATTTCTTCTGGATTTCTGTCCACTTTATATTTATTTCTGCATATGAGTGTCTGAGTGAATATATCACACCTGTCAGAACTGGGAGCTGTAATTACATACAGTTGTGAGCCTCCCAGTGTGGATGCTGGAAATTAAATTGTGTCCTCTGGAGAGCTGTCTCTCCATTCTCTTCACAGTCGAATCTTCCTGTTTCTGTCTTCAGTATTGATTTATAGGCTTGCTTCACTGTCCCAGCTTTGTGGGTACTGGGAGCACTATTCATTAACCTCATCCTTCCACCACCCTTTTTTTTTTTTCTTTTAAAACAGGGTCTCAGCTGGACAGTTGTGGCCTTCAATCCCAGCACTTGGGAGGCAGAGTCAGGTGGATTTCAGTGAATTCCAGGACACCAAGACTGTTAGGCCAAGAAACCTGGTCTCGAAAAACAAAACAAAACAAAAAGTCTCTAGCAGGGCATGGCACATTCCTTTAATTTCAGCACTTGGGGAACAGTGGCAGGTGGATCTCTGTGAGTTTGAGACCAGCCTGGTCTATAAAGCAAGTTCCAGGATAGCAGAGAAACCCTGTCACAAAAACAGAAACCTAAAACCAACCTAGGGTTGCATTGCCCATGCTAACCTTGAAATTGCAACCCACCTGCTGACCTCATATTACCAAGTAACTAGTATCATAGGCCTGTGTTGTTAGGTGTGATTCTTATTTTGCCTTTAATATATAAAAAAATGCTAAGGAATTTAAAGTTGAAAGTAATTTAAAAATATCATTAGGTCTATTATAAACCATAATCCTATGTTTAGGTGAGGAAGAAAATGCTTAGGAACTAGAGCTAAAAAGAAGCGAGCAAACATTTCTTTATAGTTTATAGTTAACCACACAAAGTTATTTAAAAATGAAAATCTCCACATTGGATCATATCTGTGGTCAAGCTCTATTCACTATAAAGAAGATGCATATTTTAAAGAATATGCTCTTGAATGCCCTGATTAATGTGAGGATACTTTCTTTAATAATTTTTTGGTGAACTGTAACTTGGTTAATTAATTCAGGATGTGTCTTTTCAGGTACTACTTTAAAGTGAATACAATTCTAGCATCATTAAAACCACACAGACACAATTTGACAAAGTATGAGACAAAGTTTATTCTTTATAATGTCTTGCTTGCATTCATTAAAAATCTGAGAAAGACTAGATCAGTCTCTTATTAGTTATCTTACATCAAGAGGAAAATATAGCCTAATTTCTGGAACAATGGTTTGAGAAGACTTGACTTTGAAAGAGTAAGATTTCTCGCAAGTCCAATCACATGTCTGTAAATTGCACCATGGAACTTAAATAAGAAACACAAAAGCAGAGTAGTTGAAGAAGACTGTACATTTGTATTCCTAATACTATACCGGGTTCTAGGTTGGGCATGTGCTCTGAACTCTGGTTGGCTCTTTGGTCACTGCTACATTTGCAAAAGTACTAGTTTATGTTCTGGACCCTGGCACTCTGTTCAGCCCTTTTCTCTATCATGCTTTATTGCTACTGCTTTCCAGCACAGCCCTGCTTCCTTTCTCCCCTAATCTGCAGAGGCTGGCTGTCAGACCTGCTAATCCATTTTCCAGTCTAACTTAAAGGAAGACATCATCTGTTTATAGTAGGCCCTTTCTGAGATGACCCTCATGCCAATATCACTATTCTTTAATAAAATTAATATAAGTAGCATCTTTGACATCAGAAGATGTTATATATTTTTGGTCTCCTGATATGTAAATGTAGCCATTGGTGAGACATCCAATACTGCTAACCAAAGCTTTATCTCCTTCAGCTTCTTGTTGTAAGGGTAGGGGCGGTGGGCTGCTTCCAGCCACCCAGCCGCCGGCACGGTTAGCTTTACCCGAAATAATTACACGGAAACTGTATTCTTTTAAACACTGCCTGGCCCATAAGTTCCAGTTTCTTATTGGCTAGCTCTTACATATCGATCTAACCCATTTCTAATAATCTGTGTAGCCCACGAGGTGGCTTACCAGAGAAGATCTTAACCTGCGTCTGTCTGGAGTGGGAGAATCATGGTGATTGCCTGACTCAGCTTCTTTCTCCCAGCATCCTGTTCTGTTTACTTCACCCCCCTAAGGGTTGGCCTATCGAGGGGCCTAGGCAGTTTCTTTATTAATAAGAAATCATTCCCACATCAGCTTCTCTTTGCCAGAATAGCCAAATCTTACTACTCTTTGTTTCACAGTCAGCCAACCAATAACTATGTCTATAGTCATACTATGATAATTCTTTTAATATTGATCATGAGCTTAAGATTTTCTTACTATTTACCTTTCATTAGAATAATTCTGGAGAGTGTTATATCTTTAGGCTTTTGCATAAGATCTCCACACAAGTTGTACGAATTCTTCCAAACTACTATTACATGGTTTCAATTCATATTTTATGAAATTCATTTTACCCACCACCACTTTAAAGAGTGGTGCATGCTCTCTTTTCTTCACATGTTACCCTTTTTTCTTGTTAACTATTGTATGTTATATTCAGGGTTTAATGTTATACAGGGGTTGTATGAACTAAAATTGCTCAGTTTCTTTTAGTTGTAAGCTTTTTATTTTGTACTCAGATATTTGAAATGTGAGCCTTCTTGGTAGTCTGGGAATTTTTGTAAGAATTCAGTTCTTGTAAAGGCTAATTTTACCGGCTCTCCATCATTTTTCCTATAGTAGTTACACACTCAAAGTAAATACTAACCTTTTATCTTATCCTTAGCTGTTTTGTATAGAAACAACCAGGTGAGTTTTGATCTGGTTTATTTCCTTTGACAGGTAAGGATTTGAAGTGCAGGAACACTCTCCAGTGACGCAGGTAGCAGCAGAGAAAACTCACCATAAGCAAGAACAAACAGAATCAGCAGTTTAAGAAAGGCTTTTGTTGAGGGTGAAGAAACACACATACCACAAATACACAGACAAAACAACCCAAAACTCTTAGGCATCATTTCTTGATGGCTCAGCTCAGGGCCCTAAGGTTCTCTGGTCAATAGAGCTTCAGCAAAGTACATCAGCAGGCCCAGTAGGACAATGAGGAGGGTGATGACATTCCTGGGGCACTACCAGTAGTGAGTCATAACACCTTGCACTGCATCTGGATGGTGCTCTGAATCACATAGGATCCAGGCCACAACGATGCTGTTGCTGCTGAAGGCTGTCACCTTCAACATGGGCAGGGCACAGGACACCAGGGCATTGGCACAGCCAGGCAGGGTCAGGACTGTCCTCAGGATTGCAGGCCAGCAGAGGCCATGGTAAGGCTGAGGGTGCTGTAAAAGAGACTGCAAAGATTCCTAGGTCAAAAGAGAGATTCTTTTCTGATTGTCAGTCTGAATGCATAAAATGTATTACTTCATTAACTTTAAGCCCAAACCCTAGTAATTCATAGTATGCATGATCTCAGATCTCAGTTCATATCTTGATTGAAATATATATTATTTTTTAAAAGAGTTCTTTTCTAGCCTAACTTTGTGGTTCAGGTCTGTGATCCTAGTTACTCAGGAGGGTGAGGTAGAAGCATCACACATTTAAAGCCCACCTAAGCTACTTAGTTTTAAGACTCTCTCAAACATATAACACAACTTTTATCAAATAATGATGGCAAATGAATTATTCCAACTTACATCTCCATTGCTAAGAGACCTCTTCTAACAAACAGTGATAGCAATTGAATTATTTCTATGTTTATAATCTATGGAATGCTGTGTGTTTCTTGTTACTTTTTTTTTCTTTTTTGAGACAGGTCATATTATGTATCCCTAGCTAGCCTGGAACTTGCTGTGTAGACTAGGAACTCATAGAGATCCCCCCTGCCTCCTGAGTACTGAGATTAAAGATACGTACTTGCAGTGCTTTGCTTGCTACGTTTTTTTTTAGTTGTACACACTTGATTTGTACATTTTTATTACAGATAATTATAGTATAGAATAAATTGTTTTTATAAATTTTTATTTAGTATCATTTCTCTTGGGCAGACCATTACACTTTATATAAATATAAGAACTTCTAATTATATCACTATCAGTAGCTGGCCCAAATACATGATGACTTTTTCTTCTTTGAAGTGAAAATATGACATTCTGCTTTTCTGTCTTTTCTCTGAAGCTAAAAATAATAATCTTGTTAGTACTTTAGTTTCTCTTTATCCCCAATCATTACTGTATTTCTGTAACTATTATTTGAGAGAACAGTACTTTCTGAAAGGTTTAGGATGATACTTTTTAAAAAATAGTACATAAACGTTCTTGTCTTTTATAGATATACTTTGGAATATTATGGATAAAAAAGATATTTCTTAAGCCAGGTGGTGGTAGCGCACACCTTTAATCTCAGCACTTGGGAAGCAGAGGCAAGTGGATCTCTGAGTTTGAAGCCAGCCTGGTCTACAGCACAAGCTCCAGGACAGCCAAAACTGCACAGAGAAAACATGTCTGGAAAATACGAACAAACAAACAAAAATTTCTTTATTTGCTTTAAAATTGGGAAGTGGTTAAAAGGTATAAGTGAAATGTGGTTATGTAAGAATTAATCATTATTTAATCTGGCTAGTGGTGTAAATGGTATCATTTTTGTTCTCTATATTTTGCATGTGTTTGAAATTTTCCATGGTAAATTAAGAAAAGTATTATCTATATGATTATTTCTTAAATTTGAATTCTGCTGTAGAAAATGATTTTAATATATGTGATAATGTTTTTCAGTTTTGAATGAGATAATTTTGCTTCATACAAATTAAACTGGGTATGGTGATAGACACCCAAATCCCAGGTAGCATTCAGGAAACTGAGGCAGGAGGATCCCCATGTCTCAGAGGCCATCCTGAAGATGAATTTTAAGTAGGCTTTCTTATTGTGTTAGATAGAGAAAAACTGTGGAAACTCTTGTTCATGGCTAAAGCGTGCTTCCTTTGAGTGGCTATAATGAACTCTCATTGTTTCAGGTTGTTCAGCAGCCTTCAGGAGGCAATGCAGATCAAGTGACCGCCATTTCCCATTCATCACCATTGAGCACTCAGAAATGTGGACCGAAGATGCTGGCGAATACTATAGTGCCTACTAGTAAGTTTCCTCCGTGTAGTGCTGGCATCCCAGCTTCATCACAGTGAATCTGGAATATGACAGCACCTGCACCTGTTGTATCAAGGGAAGACTGAAAGATAGTTAATACATTTACAGAGGCACTCTTTAGGGGTATATATTGTTTTAAAACAAACAACTGTTTATGGTATTGTAATATTAGATTAACCATTCTAGTAGTAAATGTGTATTAATAATATCACAATGAATATCAACATTTTTCTGTCACTTTTTGTGTATGATGTTTTTATAATGATTCTAATTCTAAAGACAATTTGAGACTACATGAAAACATAATCTAGAGGTCTTTATAAGATGATTTCTTATTCAGGGGTTTCATTCACTGTCCTTTTATAATTTAAACATAATTCTGTGGTAGCTTAAGATAGTCTTTGATTATTTTATATGTATTAAAAGCTGTCCTGAATTTTCCTGATGTGACATGATTGCTTTTTTTTTTTTTTTTGTTTTAATTCTGTTTTCTTTCTTGTTTTGTTTTTACAGCTTCCATCATAAAACAAATTACTCTGCCTGGAAATAAACTTCTCTCTCTTCAAGCTCATACATCTTCTATTCATAACAATAAAATAAAAGAGAATGGAGCAATACGCTTCAGGTAAAGAAAATCAGTAGTTAAAACTTAATCTGATGTGTAGAAATAAAGTTTTAGGGGGAAAAGATGTTAAAGAATAATTATAAATAAACAGGTACGAATGTTGTTTATAAATACTGAAAGAAATAGCCCTGGTTGGATTCCTAACACCCACATGGCAATTCGTAATCTTCTGTGAGTCCAGTTTCAGTGAATCCAGTGGCCTCTTCTGGCCTCCCTGGCACCAGGCATTTTTATAGTGTACAGACATAAATGCAGGCAGTATAACCACGTACTTTATAAATAATTTAAAAACTGACTATAATTTACAAATATCAGACACAAATCTTGTGTGCTTTTTTCAGTGGATTGGAAAAGCCTGTGTAGTAGTAGTCTAGACCCTGGCACTAAGCATGTCCGCTGTCACCTTCATGTCCTCTTCAGGTCATTTAGCTCCGTCCCATGCTTCTGCCAGGTCCTATTCTTAGGAATAGGCATGACAAACACGTTGTCATCACGTTCAGCAGGTCAATATTTCCTTGTTCAATGTGTCCAGAATTAACATGCTGCCCACTGCTTGGTCAGTTGGTGGCCACCACAATTATCAAATGAGTCAGTGCATGTGTTCAGGTAGTTTAGGTTCGACTGTCACAATGCTTGTGTCACTCACTTTGCTTCATCTCCTTATGTAGGCATTTAATTTTCTATTCTTGTCACCATACAAAGGGTGAGTCCTGGTTATTTTGAGGACTGAGAAGAACATCATTATACTCTTGTTAAAGTATATTGTTTTAATTCTAATTAGCCTTACTGCACCTAATTTACAGATTAAACTTTATTGTAAATGTCTATTTATAGAAAAAAAAAACCCACCATATACGTAGGTCTTGGTTCTAGGACTTCTTGTTCAATTCCAAAGTCCTTAGATGCTCATCTTTTCAGGAGCTAGATGTTTTTTGACATCTTTGTCTTTTTTGTTGTAGTTGTTTCTCTTTTTTCTTGTGGTACTTTGAGTTTATAATTTAATCTTCAGAATAGGTGCTTCTCCTTTTACATTTCTCTTGTCAAGTATCTCTTTCCAATTATTTTCTGACATGGGGTATATTAGCCATTCTCTGATAGTGTACTTTGTCCCTATGGCCATTGCTACCTCTACTTTCTCTTTTCTGGTTTTGTGGTTTACCACAAGGCTTGAGGCAGGTGCCCGTGGCATGTTGGACAAATATCAGGCATCGTAGATCAGTGGCTTTATCCTGAGCTTTCTTTCCATTTTTCATTTAGAAATAATTTGTAGTTTGGATATTCAGGCTACACAGAGACTGTAGCTATTGTTCAGTATTGTTTTGGGAGGAAATCTTGAAAGACAACGGGATATTTATGAAATAGTGTTTTCCAGTTCAGTAAGTATTGACAAAAGGGTAAACCCATGTGCCAGGTACCATAATCAAGATAAAAACAATATTTTCAATATCCCACAAGGTTTTTTTGTGCTTGTTCTTTTCATCAGCCAGTCCTCACATTACTTTCTGGACCCAAGACTACCACTGATCTGATTCTTAACATTGCAAGTTAGATTGATGGTTAAGGTGCTCCCTATTTCTAGCCTCCAAAGTTGGAGATTTAGTTAATTAAACTTCAGTTTTTCTTGATCTAAACATTTAAAACTGCCAAATTCCCTCAAATACTGACCATTGAAGTTTTGCTTTATTTTTCTCATGTTTATATTTTGCTTCCTGTTTAATAGTGCAATTATTTGAGATGGCTCCCAGACGATTACAATAAAGTAGTCCCACACTAGCTCAGAATTGAGTATAATAAAGGGTTCTTTATTTAGGGGTAGACTCACAGTCTTATCCAGAAGTGGAGAGCAAAGAACAGGAACCAAATCCAGAGACAAAGAGGCTGCCACATGTTTCTACATCTGTTTATATAATACATATGGCCTATGCCAGTATCTTAAAGGCTATTGGCTGAAGGAGTTCCCACAGTACCTTACAGTTTTGTCTAAATAAGAGCATTCTACGCCTAATACAAAACTATATACAATAAGAACAAATGTTAAGTATAAAAATTAGAATTACAACCAGCATAAACAATATTAAGCAAGAAACATGCTAAATGTTTCACTACTTGTCCTATCCTAAGGAATCTAAGTCTTTTATTAGAAATGGCTTGACTAAGTGATGAGAGGAAAGTAGCTACTATCTAGTCTTCAACCCATGGACTGAGAAGGGAAGTAATATTACTTGAATAAATAGAAAGTACAAACAGGCAACTTCCAAAATGTGTGATAAGTGACAGAGACAACCTGGGCAATCACCCAAAGTCTCATTTGCAACATTGGGCCAATCAACTTTGGCCTAGAGTTACTAACAGACCATTTTCAGAAGTAGGAAAATTTTCAAGACCATCTTATCCTGTGTTGGCAAGGATTGGCAGGCAGTCTTTTTTCTTGTATCATGCTTGTCTAGTCTGGACATTGTGCATTTTGTCAGTGGTCAAGATAGGGACAATTCTTTGCCCAAAGTTCATATTTTGACAAGAAGAAAAGAAGCTCCAAGTGGACCTTGACCAACATTCTCTTGGGAATAGATTGGTGTTGCCAGGAGTGATTGTGTCTCACTTCAACAGAACCCTAAGTTATTTAAATACCATATTCTACAACTCTTTGAAGTGGTTGAAGATTACTTATCTATGTGAAATAGAGTTTCTATGTATCTAAAGAACCTGATTAGTCTAACTATGACAAACATGGATGACTATTGACCTATAATCCTTAATACCTATATAGCTTAAAGATTAAGGCTTCATATTAGAATATTAGACAATTTTTAAACAAATGTGCAGCAAATGAAATCAGTGACCTCAAAATGTAAACAATGTATGTATCTTGATCAGAGGTAGAAATGTATAGTGCAATATGATAAATATATTTTTAAATTGTATCAGTAAACTTGCATGCATATAATATGACAAAATAACTATGCATAGTTATACAAATATTGTAAACAGAAATAGAAACATATTCAATTTAACAAATATAATTTGAATTTGTATCAATATACAAGAATATTTACCAATGTAAATTGTCTATAAATAATAGCTCACACTGATCGACTATTACTCTATTGTTAGTGTGAGTAAGCTCACACTGATCGACTTATTATCTCTTCCAATTCCCTCTCCCCTTTTAAAAGAGATCCCTGAGCCTACATAATTTCCACCCCCACCCCTAACTGTATACTAGTTATACTCAACCCTAATTGATGTCCGTAACCCCGAGGACAAACTTTGTTGGGAGAGGGGATGTTGTTTTCTAGAATTTCTTCCAGCTTTCATGCGAGTGATGTTCTTTCTGTGGGATCCTATAAAAATTAAAACGATGGTTCAGTTTCAAGATTACTGTCTATTATAATTGCAAATAGTCTCTGAGTAGTTGGTAGAGTTTTCTGAAGTTCTTATTAGAAGTTCTTACCAGAATGTTGTAAGAAGGTGTATCATTTCAGCTAACCAAGTTGGAATCATCTTGTGCAACTGTTACCCAAAACTGATTTTAAAGTAGTGCTATCACCATTATGATATCATATTAACCAGGTGGAATCGTTGTGGCGCCCCATCTTCTTTCTGGAAAGTTTGAAGATTACTGCAGGAAAATTCATTGTTTACTGTGGAAAACTTAAACATTATTCATATAGACATATATTCAACGAAAGATATGATTGAGACAAAAATATTTATGGGGAAAAGTAAAATTTTTCCTAAATTCTTTCTTCTTTCTGTCCCATACCATATGGCTCCTGATATGAGACAGAAACTCTGAATTTTCTTTTAACAACATGCTTGGGTTTAGAGAAGGATAGCCATTGTCCAACTCTAAAGCCAGCTTTGATTTTTAAGTGTGTGTGTGTGTAGATAGATAGATAGATAGATAGATAGATAGATAGACAGACAGACAGACAGACAGACAGATCAGGTGTTATCCTAACAGTGGGTTGTAGATTGAACATGTCTCCTAACAATCTTTGAAAGTCATTATAGTCCACAATCGGTCTCTCCTAATTTGTGCTTTCTGTGTTTTAATTTTCTTTTTTTTGTAACCTAGATATTGATAGACTCTCCTCTTTGTATTTTTTCATGAGCAATTTGTAATCCCATTTAGGCAAAACTTTGTCTACTTCAAACATTCTTTCTAAAGTATCTGCATTTGATTCAGATAGCAAAATGTCATTCATATAATGCTAAATTATAGATTGAGGAAATTGTTTATGTATTATTTCCAATGACTGACTTATAAAATATTGGCACAGGGTGGGGCTATTGAGCGTTCCCTTTGGCAGAACGGTCCATTGATATCTTCTAGTCACATGAGAATTATTATAAGTAGGCACTGTGAAGGCAAAATTTTCTCTGTCCTTTTCTTGCAAAGGTATAGTAAAGAAACAATCTTTAACTATAAGAGCCCACCAGTTAGGTAATAGGGAAGCCAAAAGAATTACAGATTGTAAAGGGACCATAGGTTGACTCACCTTATTTACATCTCTCAGTTTTGTCACCATTCTCCATTTCCCAGATTTGTTTTTGACAACAAATGCAGGAAAATTCCAAGGGCTAATTAATTCTTCAATATGGTGAGCATCTAGTTACTCCTGTACCAGATGTTCTAAAGCCTGTAGATTCTCTTCTGTTAAACACCATTGCTTGGTCCATATTGGTTTCTTAGTCAACCATTTTAAAGGTAGGGCCATTAGTACCTCTGAAGGTTTGTTAGTTGTTTTATGTTCTTGAACAGCCTGGATTAACTGGTTACCATTTTTTATAGTACCTTATAATATCCTTCCCAGAGACATGAGTTTCTGGGACTGTAGGAATCTTAATTTGGGTATTCCATTGCTGCAGCAATTCATGACCCCATAAATTCACTGTGATATTAGCCACATATGGCCACAGCCTTCCTCTCTGTCCTTCTGGCACATGCATTCAACCTATCTCATGCTTTGTTTCACTTGAAATAGGGTTCCAGTGCC